GTATAGAAATACATTTATACCTGTATGTATGTGTGTATCGACGTATGTAAGTGTGTATTAATGATATATATATATATATATAAATATGATGCACGTGTTTAATCACGTTATCGGCCGTGAGTTCAATCATCTACATTTTATTTCTGTGAACGCCAACTGCATATCTCTCAGCTATATCTCTCAGCTTGTCAAGTTCAAACATACATCGCAGCCGCACTCTGGATCACTTATTTTCTCCACTTCTATACGCTCTCGAAACTATGGACCCCTCAAATTTTAAAACGTTTCCATTAAATATCTTCAAACCCCTAATTTCCCGGCTTGCACAGGTTAGTGTTTGTGCCACGTGGACAGAATGGGCAACGGGTCACTCAGGTGCCCGTCGTGTCCCACTTTAACCCGTCAGATGTGATAGATAACATGAATTACGAGGAATTGATGCAGCGATTTCCCCCTCAGGTAGGCCACCGGATGTGTGTATACATAAAGATTTGAAGATTTGTGGACGCGTGCCTGTTCGTGTAATCGTGTGTGTGTAATCGTGTGTGGGTGTGATGTTTATCGGCATGTGTGTGTATTTGTGTGTGCGTGTGTTGTTTATCGGTATATGCGTGTAATTGTGTGTGCGTGTGTTGTCTATCTGTATGCGTGTTTAATTGTGTGCGCGTGTTGTCTATCTGGATGTGTGTATAATTGTGTATTTGTGTGCAATTGTGTGTTCGTGTCCTATCTATTTGTACGTGTGTATAGTTGTATAAGTGTTTGTGCTGTAAGCTCGCGTTGTGTGGTGCTAGTATTCTGCGCAATTTATATGCGCTTATCTTTTTACTGGCGCTATCCGTCTCCTTGTTTGATTCGAGAAAGGTGCAATCTTGTGTCGCTGTTTGAGACGATCACTGAAACTACTCGTGCCCTTATATTTTGAAGTTCAGTATTGTATATTTGTGGCTATGTATATGAAAGGTATATAGATACACATCGATATACACTCTACACCTACTTGGCATCGCTCCCGTATTCCACCACTGAGAATGTACAGATTTCGAATTATAGACACTTCCGTAATAGTATCATGGATCTCTCCGCACATACAGGTGGGACGGGCAGCGAATCGTTGGCTTATTCACGCGCTACCCACCGAAACGCTGTCGAAAGCTGCTATCGCCAAACTGGAAGAGGGCTCTCAAAACTGTTGTATATGTTTGGAAGACTTCAAAGCAGGTTTGTGGGTTCGTAGGTTTAAATTTAGTGTATGAGATTGCCTTATGGCTATTTGCCACGTACCCATACATGCGATATGTTTCGAAGTTTTAGTTTGACAGTATATATACAAGTGTCGACGAACAGCTGTTTGCTTTCCCGCATAAGTGCTAGCTACAACAAAGATACATTTTTGTCCATGTACTTGTTCGTATTTGTAGATTATGACTCGTATTGATGGCTGTTTTGATATAGGGGAACGAGAAGCGTGTTGCAGTTCTTATTATAATTTTATGATAGGCCCAAGTTAAGGCACATTCATTTGCTTTTCACTCTTACAGTTGTGCCTTTATGAAAAATGTTAATGTGTACTATCAGCCTATCACCTAGATATATTGTGAAAGGACGATGGAGAGGCTGCTTCTTTGTCTCGACTGGCTCATAGTATAGTACTCGCTATCTCGAATATATGACTGTGATCATGAAACATGTTGATGATTTTATTCTACTGTAGGAGAGAAAATGAAGAGATTACCTTGTCTACATACGTACCACGACCACTGCATAGATGAATGGCTATCAAGGAGAGGGACTTGCCCCGTTTGTAAACATGCACTGGAATAGCCCGGTGGGGGGCTGGAGCCATGGTTGACTGTCTTCAGAGGGTCTGTCGGTGTGACATTTATAAAACTCCTCTTACGAACACATGCCCATTCGTCGGAAATACAATTTTCAGGCCCTGTCCATTTGTCCATAATTCTGAACGGACGTCAATTGGACGACCGCACGAATATTTACCCCCTCGTCTCAAGAGTGGCGTTACACAGTACCTACTAGTCCACTGACTATTTACACTGATTGGAGTTTGGACTGTGGGTGAGTGGACTCTCAACTAGGTAGAAAAGCATAGCCTTCTAAATCATACAAGACGAAGGCTATGAAGAAGGCCAGGAGAAAAGAGAAATATTCAATATTGATTTTTAGTAAAAAATGTATTGGACCATAGCGGCATATTTAGGGCTAGGCTTCTTTTAGAGGGGACGATAGGCCTACGCCCTTTGGCCCCACATCCCATGCCCTGTCGTTGGGCCCACCACCAGTGGGCCGGTGGGGTCGTGAAAATTCCGTTCCGCACACTCGCACATTCGTTCAGATGTCTTGGACTTGCATCTGCAATACTAATAAATACCTCTATGAAGTATGGAGTATGGAGTATGTACTATGGACTATGTATGAGACTCTTTTAACTTTTAAATCTGCGAGTGAAAATAAAACAGAAACACACAGCTGGGGCCTGGGGGAGGGGGGGGGGGAATAAGGCTGGGGCACAGGAAGGTTTTTTTAATGATTTCCGGTTTGTTTTTAAAAACAAAATTGTGATTATTTTGTGCAACGGCCCTCCGGGTTTTCGCCCTCGACTCCCTCGGGAGTCGGGACCCTGGTCCTGTGCTTTGTTTTTTTAAAAACCCCAAAAACAAATACACAAAGAAGGCTATTATAACTCCAGTCTGGTTTTTATTTGTTCTATTTGTTTTATCTTTTAAACAAAAAAAACATACTGTTCTGTGCTCAGAATACGTCACCCCAAAGTTTAAGGAAAAGAGTCTGGAGTAAGCTCTATTACTCAGACAGAAAACCCTTCTTTAATATTGTTTAGTAGACAAGTTGTTAACCTTGAACACTTCTTCTACCAGACTATTAATACTCAATCATTTATCCTGATCATCCGTCCGTCATTCAGATTTATTATTCTGAACCATCTCATTCTCCTATCCTATTGGTTCTAAAATGTACCTCAATATATTTCCTACGTTCCCTACAACGTCACAGCCAATGAAGCTCATTCACTCCCATTAGCCAATCAGTATTTTCTATTGAAAGGCTAGCTACTCCATTGTGGAGGACACGTGTGAAGAGCTCACTCCTGGTTGACAGCAGACTCTGAGCCCTATAGTTCTGTTGCGAGGCTGTGCCCTTACGTCCTAGGTTTATTTCCCCACCTAAACCTTCCTTTCAAAACCTGCTGACGTCAGGCCCGCAACAAAACAAAAAAAACATTCAAAACAAACGAGAATATCAAAGAGTGTAAGAGTATGACTGCGCAACTCTGGCCAGGCCAGCCAGACCTGTGCCTTCCACCTAAAGACTACCAACAAAGCATAATCGAAGCGTAACACATATCTACGTAGACATATCTAAGATATTCCAGCGAATGAAGAACATGGTGGTTGTGTTGTTTACTGGCCTACCATGTCATTGTTTTAAGAAGAAGAAAAAAGTATAAATTTGCCATAATTTTTGTAAGAAATACTTATTAAGTTACATTCCTGAATTTGAAAATTTAAGATTTATGTATGGTGAGCAAATTATAGACGGTACAATAGCTGAGTTGACTTCAGATGCTTTCGATAATCAAGACTATTTAAAAGCCTTTAATCGAAAATAGCATAAACGCCTGCATAAGTCACAAGCTGAAAAAGATAGCATGTTTCCATCGTCTGAAGGAACGGAAGTTAAAACTTATCCGCCTACAGCATTTATCCCAAGCCTTAATGCTCATCCTTCATATGTGCTATAGACACTGAAGCGTAAGAAACGTCCAGTCGACCACCATGGACTTACTGGACCGAAGCTCAAAACTAACAAAGTAACCGAGAGCACTTAACCTCTCTGCCTGAGAAACATTTACTATATGTTATGCTACTTAATGTTTCGACCTGTTTTTCCTTTCTCGCTTTTGACCCATAATCAGCTTGAGGGAGCAACTTGCTTCTCCTGGGTCTCAAAGCTGGGTGGAGGCTGTGTAATAAGCCGGGCCTTCACATTAGACTATGTATAAACGTACTCTTAAGCAGTATGCAAATTATAAACGTACTCTTAATAGTACGAGGAACTTAAGTTTCCTAAATTTACTCGTAATAGTACGAGGAACTTTAGCCTCCTAAATGTGCTCTTAATAGCACGAGGAACTTAAGTTTTCTAAAATATATTTTAACGGGTTTATTAATTAAACATTTTTCATTTAACATATCAGATATTTGGATGAGGCCATTAAAAGGCCTCAGTAAAATATCCAACATAAAAGAGTTGGTCTAGTTCTATTAATAGAACTTTATTTACTTTCCAACTTTATTTATATCTGAATACATCGGTAGCGAGATGGATCAACGGAATATAAGTTTCTAGGAACTATTAAAGTTACCTAATTGATCCTCTGATCAGCCAACCAGATGTGCCAGTCTGATGAAGGCCAAGTCGGTAATTCTTGATAAGTGGCATGTTATTGGTTAAGACAATAACTAAGGACATCAAGAGTATTTTTATTATTATTATTTATTCTTCTAAAGATAAAATTTGATGAGTCTCTCGGATTCGCCCCAGTGAAAAATACGATAGATTCTAATAGAACAACAACGAAACACTAGATAAAATCCCTTCGGCGGAAACAGTACTGAGAGGATTATATATAGGCAATGTCTCAGCCTCAC